ACGTTCGCATCACTACATTAGATGAGAGGGAATTTTTCGAAAAAGTATTGTGAACGTTCAAATCAAATGAGAGAGAATGTTCACATTATTTTTAATGTGTTGTCAATTAAAAATATATTCACATTATATAATAATATAAAATAATAACATTAATGTTGGGTTGTCTGGGGTGTCCTAAATAAGTACACTTTTTGTCTTTTTTGACTAAAAAGTTGAGAAAAAAATATGGATGTTTGGGTTAATTTTTTGACTTTTTATGAAAAAATATGTATTAAAAAATTGTATAAATAAGTGTGTAGGAAAAGATAGTGAAGTAGGCCGTACGGGTTGGGCAGTGTAGTCGACTGGGTAAGAGATGGTAAAAGACTGGCTCCTTTTTGGACTTTAATTGGATGGTGTTATTCGGCCCGTGGGAGCCCACCACGGGTCTCGTTTTTCTAATCGGAACTGTTTAATATGTAGAACTCGTCGCGTACTATATGCTTGTAAAAAATCACATTGATTGGATATCGATAGGTATTTGATCGTGTTAGTTTTTTTTGTCAACTGTTAACTATAACACCATCCATTTTTTATACAAAACTGATTTGATCATATAGTTAGCGATATCCGATAGACGTGATTTTTTACAGGCATATAATACTAGACGAGTTCTACATATTGCACAGTTCGGATTATCAAAATAGCACCTATCATGGGCCCCCATGGGCCCAACTTTACTATCAAACTTAATGAATATATACATATAATTTTTTTTTCCTTTCACTCATTTGTTATACAAAACTGATTTGATCATATAGTTAGCGATATCCGATAGACGTGATTTTTTACAGGCATATAATACTAGACGAGTTCTACATATTGCACAGTTCGGATTATCAAAATAGCACCTATCATGGGCCCCCATGGGCCCAACTTTACCATCAAACTTAATGAATATATACATATAATTTTTTTTTTTCCTTTCACTCATTTGTTTTGACGTCAGTATCTAGCCTATCGAGAAATTGATTTGTATTTAATATTATGTGTATTAATTTTTTTATATATTTTTTTTGTAAATAGTGATAACTTTTTAAAATTTTGATAACTTTTTGACTTTTTTTAAAGTTTTCAAACCAGGTCTTAATTTGTGTATAAAATTTATTATGCCTTGGTTCTTTCTCTTCTCTTTCCTACACCCAACATTAAATATAAGGGTATAAGAGTTAAAGAAAATAGTATAAATCAAGGAAAAAAAAACATTATGAAATAAAAATATAAATATATAAAGGTAAGTGGATTAAAAAATTTAGTCATAAACTTCTTAAATTAAAACATTTCTAAATAAAATTTGTCAATAAAAATCCCTTTTAAATATCTTATACATCGTTGTCTCAAGAGCGTATACACGTTGGCTAAGTACTTTTTTTCCATAACGGTGTGGTGGTCCAATAAATCCCACAATTCCACTGTCCGCTCCTTTTTAGTTCCTCTTCTAACTCACCAAGGATCCTCTAGAGTAAAATTTTTTTAAAGTTTCCTAGAGTACTACATTGTGTGGTTGAGATTTACTGGCAAGTCACATCAGAAAAATTGATGTGACTTGCCAGTAAATCTCAACCACACAATGTAGCACTCTAGGAAACTTTAGGAAAAAATCACTCTAGAGGATCCTTACTCCTTCTAACTAGTGTTTCGTCCGTTTTATACGTGCATTGTGTTTATAATTATTTATATAAATAAATTATAATTTTTAATTTTTTTTAAATTTTATTTAAAATAATATAATAAATATATTATGTTTTTAATCAATTATTTTATATTAATTTTTACTCAAAATTTAAAAATAATATACATAAAAAATCTAATTAAGAGAAAATTTACTCATAATGACATTTTTTTTATTTCTATATAAATACTTAAAAAATAAACTTGAAAAAGGTAATAAGTATAAATATTATACATTAAATAAAAAAATGTGGTCAACAATTATGCTTACATAAATTTACTATAATTTTAATTCAAATTTTAAAAAAATATATTTTAAAAACATTTATTTAGGTAGTACCAAATAAAATTTTCTTAGCAAAAAGGAAAGTTATAAAATTTTGTTACAAATTTTCAAATGTCTATTGTTAAACATTCTATTCTAGTTACTTATTTGTTTGCTTGCTTACTTTTGGAATTTTGATATTTGATCTTTACTCAATATTCATCGTACTGTTTTATTTATTTTTCTTCTTTTAACTTGATTTTCACATGATACCTATTTCATAGTGTGTCTTCGAGTGTATTAGTGAAAACATCATATATTTAAAATGTATAAAATTACAATATATAGAAAAAAAATAAGTAAGTAATTACCCAAAACTAAAACTACTTTAAGAAAAAATAAAAAATAAAAACAAAAAGAAAATTGATTGAATTAGAAAATTATTAATTAATTAATTAATTTTTTAAAAAAATTAAATAAAACAAAGAAAACTACATATAAAAAAAATACAAAAACCAAATATAAAATATAATACAAAAAATAAATGAATTATAGGATTTTCAAGAAGTAACACCCACAAACAAATTTTGTAAAATCTTATCTATTCATATATTTTTTGTACCTTTAATCCCGCGAATGATATTTAAATAGTTTGCGTTTCTTACATTATGTCCATCTAATAGCTTTAGCAAATACAGATGTAATAAATTTCATAACACAAAACGCAAACAATTGTGAGACAAAGTATCAAAAAAAATAAAAGTAACGTTTAATGATGATGTAGAAACACACCCGACGTTTTAATTAGAGGTATAACCAGATAAATCGCTATAGAATAGGAGGATAACATTTATTTTTCATTACAATAGTTACATAACTCAATATATAATTTTAATATCTCTCACTGTTCCACAAGTCCAATTCTCTATCAATATTAGAATGAATGTATGAGCCAAAAAAAAAAGAAATATTTGAAAAGACAAAGAGATGTGGTTTAAGACATTCCAATTGTTGAATTCTATTAATTAATAATTATGAGTAATGTTAGGGACTATGAAAAAATATCATGAAATGTATCATGAAGATTTTTCATCATTTGATTAGTGTGTGGTATTTTATTGTATGTGTAATCCAAAGATGGAGAATCTTTCATGATCATCTGCATGACATTTTTTTCACGATCCCTGTCGAACTTATAATATTTGTTAGTCATTAAAGCTGAATTCTTTGGTTTTATCTATATTCACTTGATAATTTGAGAGTAGACACGTGTTAAGTTGTTACACAAATATTTGTTACATTTTTTTTAGCATTATTAATGAAATGCACAGTGTAATTTTTTTTATTTTTTTTTGCAATTACAACTTGTTATTTTTTAATAATAATTTATAATTATTTTTTTAGTAAAGATTTTTTTTTAAGATTTTAATGAAATCCACATTGTAATTTTTTTTAATTTTTTCCCCCGCAATTGCAACATATTATTTTTTAATAGAAATTTATATTTGTTTAGATATTTTTTTTAATTATACAAATTATTTTTTTTTAAATTTTAATGAAATGCACATTGCAATTTTTTTTTTTTATATTTTTTATGCAATTGCAACATGCTATTTTTTTTATAAGAATTTATATTTATTTTAGATATTTTTTTAATATACAAATTATTTATACAGTGTAATTTTTTTTCTCTTTTATTTTTGCAATTGCAATCTATTATTTTTAAAATAAGAATTTATATTTATTTTAGATATTTTTTTAATATGTATATTATTTTTTTTAGATTTTTTATACAAATAATTTAACAATCCTATCATTAACCATCGTGTATGGGAGAAGTTGAAAATGGTACGGTAGTAGGTATGTAAGAATTCAAAAACGCTTGTGAGTTATAAAAAGTCAATAAATACCAGGATTTTTTTTTAAATCGAAAAATTGAAAAATTAATAATGGGATATTGAAATTTTCATAAAACTTATGGATTAGAAACTTATTTTCCTTATATAATATACAGATAAGATAATTAATTAATTATTTAAAAAAATAATTTAATTATTTTGATGCTGACATGGCTTCCCACCATTGGCCGCAAAACCGAAAAGATTCTCTCGCTGCACTAATCTCCAGAAGAACACCTCTCATTGCACGGTCTCAGATTGCAGAATCCCATATCCACTACTCTATTTTAACATTTCCCTGTCACTACACTATGAGCCATATCCACTACTCTATTTTAACATTTCCCTGTCACTACACTATGAGGTCTTTCCAAAAGTTAAATTTTAACTTTTAATTTATTTTTGATTCCATTATTTTATATATATATATATATATATTTAAAAAAATTATAAAAAATAAAAAAATTAATTTTTAACCAATTTTTTAAAACGGCCTTGTATTGGTGGTGTGAAAAATAAGTTTTTTAAACATAATTTATATATTTTTTGAGTTTTGGTATAATAAAAATAAAAATTAATGAAACATATTTTTTTCATAATTAACAAAAAAATAACTGAGAAAATATTTTTAACGTTTAAACATTAAAGATATTTTTCAAATTAAATTTTATTAAAATTACCGTACTACTATCACTGCTTTTACCATCACCAATACAATACTATGGCTACAATCATCGTCATTGACGTCATCACAACCGCTACTACCTCACCACCACCACCATCTCCTCCTTTATCCTACGCTATCCCCACCAAATATAAATAATTATTAAACAAAATTGATAAGAAATATTTTCCGTATCCAAATAAAGCATATTTAAATTATGTTTGGCAATGGATTTTTCGCTAAAAAGTATAAAAGACAAAATTAGTTATACAAGTTAATAAGACAAAATATTATATTCAAAGCATAATCATTATATTTTTTCTTTCATAAAAATCAAAAATAAAAATTAAAAAATCAAGTTAAAATAATTAAAAAAAATCAAAAAATCAAAATATTTTCAATGTCAAATTTTGTAAGAAACCGAGTAAGCACGGACAGTAGAAGAGTAAAAAGAAGACAAATAGAAAAAGACAATAAAAGAAAGAAGAGGAATGGTGACTGGCGGTGGTAACAACAACTATTCGTCCTGAGATTTTCCATCTTCGATTTAGGGTTTTTGACTCTCTCTCTCTCGCACTTCACTGTAAGTCATCGATTTCTCTCAGCTACTCTTTAATGGCGGTCTGTTCCTTTTCATCTTCTTTAGGTCGTCTCCGCCTGCTCATACCTAGTGCATAATTTTGCTTAGAATTCATTGGTAGAGCTGAGTTTCGAATCATTTCACAGCTTTTCATGTGTTCTTTCTGTTGTTTCTCGTCTTCAATTTCTGTTATTTATGATGTTTTTGGCTTTGCTTATGAAGCTTGCTTCCACTGGATTGGGGCTTTTGTGATTAATGCTTCCTTGTGTTTGAGAGTTTGTCTTGCTTCGTCTGAGTACATGCGAAGCTGATATGGAAGTGGATTTTGAATTTTGATGTTTGAATTTAGCTCCGTGGTCTTATATTTCCAAACTTGTTCTGTGGTATATTACTGATTTGTTTAATATGGAAGTTGATTTTGAATGTTGATGGTTGAATTTAGCCCATCGTCTTCTATTTCCAAACTTGTTATGTCATTTATCGTTGATTTGCTTTAATTAGTTAAAATTTATTTGCTGTGCATAAAAACTTGGTCTTTAGTAGAGTGGTCATAGTTTATTCAACTAATAGTAGCTACTTTCATCCGACTCGGTAGAGGGGTTTAGTTCTGGAAATCTTAGATTCCTAGTTTGAAGTTCTTGAAATATGATTCTGCTGATTTTGCACCGTCATCCCATCGAATTTTTGTTTGATCTCTGTGTTTTTATTAGTGAAGTCTTCCCATTTTTAACCCCAAGGATAAGACTGCCTATATTTTGATTTAGATGGATACATGGGTAGGAGCATCTGGCTAGAGCCTGACAGTTCTACCATCAGCAACTTGGGTGCCAGACTTTCGGATATATATGTTCATGATTTTTGTATGTTGATCCATGCATGCTTTTTCAAATTGAAGTTGACTCTTTCTGCCATGTGTAATTCGTACGTGTTACTTTAAGATATGTTTACCTCTCTTTCTAGCAATTTATTACGGAGATAATCTGCCACCAATTTGCATACTTGTTTGTAAAGGTTCTTGCATGTGTTTTCTCTGCTCACTCAGCTTGGAGAATTAAAGCCATTGTTCACAACTCACAAGCAAAGGGCCCTGTAAATGATCCGAAGTTGATCCCTGGGTCCCCTTCTCCCTCCCCAGACCCAAAAAAGTAAAAAATAAAATAATTAAATGGGGTAGGTTTTAGTGGAAATGAGAAAAAAAGAGAAATGCAGGAGGTCAAGAGAGAAAAGATAGTATAAAGGAGAAACAATTGCAGCTTTGCGTGGGGAAGCTTCCAGGCTTTGACGTTACCTTAATAGGTTTAAATTTCCATCCAAATCTGCATTATTTAATAATGGACTTATCTATAAGCTTTTTGAAATCTTAATAAATAAAAACTCTTAAACTTGTATGGCTTACCATAATAACCCGTTAGAACTCCTGTCACTACTAAAGAGTTTGGGAAAATACAGCAATCTTGAATCAGAGTTTCACTTGAAAGCTCAATTTGTAAAACTTACTTTATAATACTAACTGTTCACAATAATGCACTTGCCTGATACTGCTCATTTCTTTTCTGTTGGGAAAAGAAAATTTCAAAATCTTCTGAAAGGAAAGAGTGTTTCCAACGTAAACCTACCAAATTTAAAATGGAAAAGAAAAACCAAAGATCTTGAAAAAGATTAAGAATCAGATTGATCATATGGTAGGAGAGTTATTTTTGGTAGTTCTTTCCAAGTCATTTCCTTAGGTGAATTTTACTTTCTAAACTAAATTATAGTTGCATCAAGCTGGGATATTAATTGATGTTGGCAGCATCAAAGTGTTATGATAAATTTTCATTTTTCATAAAAAGAATGATTTACTACTTACATTGCATTTACGATTAGTAAAGGACAAAATATCTATAAAAAAAATATTGATTTATGATGCATTGAGATTAAGACGTGCATATCACTACCATCCATATGAGTCAGGAAAAAAAAAAAAAAAACTCTTTGTTTTAATGTCCACATCCCATTATTTTACATGTTAGGCCCAGATCTGTATAACTAGGACCGTTACACTACAATTTGAAACCTCTGGAAGATCCTAAGTACATTTTTTTGTTACGTCCCTCTGCATGTGTGTGTGTGTGTGTATGTGTGTGCATATGGCAAGTGATGATTGAATTATTTCTAAATTTGTTGTTCCCTTGGATTATTTAGGCTTAAACTGCTAATATTTGGTTGGTAGGTGCCTCACTTTGGAATAGACATGTCAACTGTTTACCCTTGACCATTTGCCTCATCATCTTTGTTGACTAAGCCTGATGCAAACTATCTTTGTGTTTTATGCTTGGATGTGGTGCCTCAGGCAGTCTAATTATCATTCATGGACTAATGCTTTCAGTTTTCTCACGCTATAGAACATGTACAGCAACTTCTGCATGGTTGCTCTTAGTTTTTATATTTAGGTGTGTTCTTGTATTTACTATAAACTGGGGTATCCTAGCTGCATTTTGTTAAGTGCGAATTTTCAGGTTTTTAATGTTACAGTTTTGAATTGAAAATTTGAATATATGTTCAGTTTGGTTCGTCTTATATATATATTCAGTTTTGTCTATTTATATTGGGATTGTTGTTGGTTGCTTCTGCTTCCCTTTCGGTGATCATATCTAGGCCTAGCCCTTAGCAAGATTACGTGCGTACCCCCAGCTCGAAAGAGGGTGTCATCAACTGATGTGGCCTGTCAGGTGTGTGATGACCTAGCATGCATTACTGATTATGTGCTCACAACTCCAATGTGACATCAAGCTATTTTGCTGGGCCACATTAAAAGCTGGGATGCACAATCCTTTCTGAAGAAATGTCTTTGAGATCTTCATTTTTTTTTGCTGCTTGCTTTCATATAAGTACATACACTAAAGCTTGAGGCAATCATAATTTGGGTCTATTCAATTCAGTACTCAAATCTTTCTTCACTTTTTCTGCTGGTCTTGCATATCCTTGTAGTTTGGATACATACATCAAGAAGTAGCACTGTAGCAGTATCAGCAGTACTTGCATTGAATAGCTGTTTGCTGTATGAACTGTTTGAAACTCTTTCTTGTTGGGTGTTTCTGATGGATGCTTTTGTTTTTTCAGGTTTATCAGATTCAGTTTTGAGTGCAGGAGTGTTGACGCATCTTTGCCAGTAGGGGGCTGTTGTGGAGAAGTGTTATTTTATCTTCAGGTAATTCTATTGTTAGTGGTTTTCTGGTTTCTTGCACACTATCTTGACTGAAGCATGTGGCTTCTTTACAGTATGATGATTTTAATTGTTATTTGATGGATTCTTTTTCTATCAATAATCATGCATGAATTTTTTACACACAAGATTCTGCAAAGGAATGCGTTTCTACTTTTGATCGCTACCAGCGATGGTAATCTAGTTTGCATGTGTTTCTTCCTTCCACATTATTTTCTAATGTTGAAAGAGTAAATTTTGTGCTCCATTTTTGTTTATAGTATGCATTGCTCCAGAAACAGACTTCTGCACAATATTTTTCCTTTTGTGTTTCAGATGTTGAGTTTCAGGGTACCTACTCTGCATAGCTGTTTGATGCTTGTTTGATTACATGTTGCACTTCTAGTCAAGGTTTGCAAGTTGAAGCTATCATCTACAGTTACTTTACTGTGGAGCTCAGATGGATGACAGTGGGCATCGTGAAAATGGAAGGCACAAACCACCTCCGGGTCAGGTACTGGCAGCAAGTAATTTCTTTTATTTGAATGAAATAATTTATTTTATAATGCTTTTTTAAAGTGTGCAGTGCAATGATTTTCTCTCTAAAACTCCACTTCTGATTAATAGCTCTTCAATTATGTTATTTCAGTGGTTGATGCAGCATCAGCCATCAATGAAGCAAATAATGGCCATCATGGCTGAGAGAGATGCTGCTATTCAAGAAAGAAACCTGGCTATTTCTGAGAAAAAAACAGCCTTGGCAGAGCGAGACATGGCTATGCTGCAGCGTGATACAGCAATTGCAGACCGAAATAGTGCCATTATGGAACGAGACAATGCCATTGCAACACTTCAATATCGTGAAAATGCAATGAATAGTGGTAACATGTCCCCGTGCCCTCCAGGATGCCAAATCTCACGCGGGGTGAAGCACATGCACCATCCACAGCAGCATGTACACCATCAGCCCCACATGGGTGATGCTTCATACAATTCACGGGATATGCAAATTACTGATGCGCCCCCAATGTCACCAGTTGCCTCGGAACCTGCAAAGCCTAGGCGGACTAAACGAGCCAAGGAAGCCAAGGGAATGACATCTAACAAAAAGCCTTCCAAATCTTCGAAAAAGGTGAAGAGAGAGGGGGAGGATCTGAATAAGATGATGTTTGGCAAGTCCCATGACTGGAAGAGTGAACAAGATATGGGTAGTGGAGCCGATGATCTTAACAAACAGATGGGTGTGTCGAAGCCTGATTGGAAGGATCAGGACATGGGGTTGAACCAGGTTGCATTTGATGACTCCTCTATGCCGGTGCCAATTTGCTCGTGCACTGGAATGCTACGGCCATGCTACAAATGGGGAAATGGGGGTTGGCAGTCTTCATGCTGCACTACCACCATGTCAATGTATCCGCTGCCAGCAGTGCCTAATAAGCGCCATGCACGGGTTGGTGGTCGGAAGATGAGTGGAAGTGCATTCAACAAGCTGCTTAGCAGGCTTGCAGCTGAAGGGCACGATCTAACAAATCCAGTAGATCTTAAGGACCATTGGGCAAAGCATGGAACGAATCGCTACATCACCATCAAGTAGAATGTGAGAAATCTTTGAATGGATGGAGGAATCATGAATTATGTGCTCACAACTCCAATGTGACATCAAGCTATTTTGCTGGGCCACATTAAAAGCTGGGATGCACAATCCTTTCTGAAGAAATGTCTTTGAGATCTTCATTTTTTTGGGAATGAGTCAATTTCGTTATATAGAAGTAACAGCCAATATGGAATAAGAAACAGCTAGCCAAGTGCTAGCCTATCCAGCAAATGTTTTACCCCTCTTTCTCAGTGCCCCGTTTTGCTTCCATCTTTTGTGCTTTCCATCCTTTCTACATTGCCCAGTTTCTTTACCCATTCCGTATGGCTGATAGTTGTATGTGGTGATAGATGTATGTGGTGAACATGAAGCATGTGTTCATGTGGCTAAAAATAATTGTAAATCAGGTGGTATTTCGAAGTCTTATTGTACAAGTGTTAATTTATCATAAGGAGGGTTGTTTAAGCATTTTGATCCAACAACGTTGACATGTTCTGGAGACATTGCTAAGTTGTATGTTCCGAATTATCAAGTACCCATGACAAGCAGCTGTTTGCAAATCTAAAGTAGGTATGTGTAGCCTGTAAAACTATGTTTGTTGATGGTTTTTTTATTCCAATCCTCACCAGTGTATTTACTGCTGTTAATTCCTGGATTCCACCCCCACCCCCTATTCTTTGGTGATAATTCTCATCCTCTTAAGCTGCAGTTTTCTTTGTTTTTAATTTTTTGGTTATATCTGAGACGGCCTCCATTTCCCTATGGAGTCAGTGTCTAAGATTTGCACGAGTAGCCAATTTTTAATTTTTAATTTTTTATTATCTCATTACTTAAATTGCCTCAAATCTCAACAATCTGAATACCAATTCAACAGTTCTGATGTGTACTACACGAGTGACAATGTGGACCAATAGAATTGAGGTTAGATTATCACATCATCAAAAAAAAAATTAACTAACATTTTTTTATGAGTAGTGCTATACAAATTTTGCAAATAGACTGTCCTTACAAACTAGTTTGTCACTTAAAATATTAGTAAATTGAGCCTCATAAAGTTGTATCACTTCATATCCCATCAATTTGTAAAAAAAATTTGTAAATTTTTTTTATTTGTACAGCCTTTTCCTTGTTTTACTTCCAACACCAAATCATCATTCCATTGGCACATACACCACTGAAACAACCAGAAGATTTTCATAAAAATTCTTAAACATATATAGGCTTGAATCAAATATATGTTACAGATCTAGTAACTACATGTTTTAGTAACAATCTAATTTGACCTTTGCAATAAGCCAAACAACAAAAATAACACATGTTTAAAGGTAAAAAGAAAAATAAACACTCAGAGCCCAAGATCCCAACCAACGTCACTGCAACCTTGTAACTCATTCTCAAATGTACCTACATTGCAAAAAGAATCTACACAGAAAAATTACAAAGAATTTTAAATATCAAATGCATATCATATGAATGGCAATCACTCACTTGTTCCTATGAGATGGAGCATTAATGAATGATATCATATGAATGCATAATAGCTTGTTCATATCATATGAATGATCATATACAAACTATGAGATAATGATAACGAGGTACAACTATGAGATGGAGCACTAATCACTTGTTCATATCATATGAATGATCATGGTGGTGTTTGGGAAGCAAGTTCCCAAATTTTTTTCTTATTTTTTTCACTAAAAGACAAAAGTTTTGCAAAACCAAAAAAAACACATCCAAACAAAATATCACATCCAACCTCATAATCATTTCACTTTTTCTCTCACAAACATCACATCCAACCACATAAAAATCCAACTATCTTCCCAAACACTAAAAATTTTTTATCTCATAAAAACCTACATCTAATAAAATCTACATAAAAACTCACTTCCCAAAACACCATCCATATACATACCAAATGCAATTGTAAATTAGAGCCAAAATGAAAAGCAAATCAACAACAAAATTATAAAGAGTCTATCTACATTGTTTGTATCAGATCACAAAGACGTCAGCACAAGTGAATCAGACAGGGATAACTGTGATATTTTATTCTCATCATTTACAAACACTGCAGAAATGTACATCACATGAAATTTGAGAAGTCATAAAACTTTAAAGATAAGGGACACAAACGATAATAGATATCATCAATAACAAAATTGACATATTTTCTATTAGTAAATCAAACTTGAATTAAAAACCCAAACTAAAAAGTACTTGACAAGTTTTGATTCTATCTCAAACAAGTTGAATACAAAAGAGTAATGCCTCAGACCGTCCTAGTTCAAGAATTTCAACACCATAGCAAATATTAAAAAACTCGCATTTCGGTCAAATTACAAGATGTCATCATTGGCTTGCTATAAGTTCATAACTTGAAAATATTGAAGTTACAGAATAAAGAAACAGAGTAATGAAAAAAAACACAAGTTCCTACCCAAAATGGAAAATTAAAGTCTTTTTTTTCAAACATAAATGGTATGGACCCAAAAAATGGACTATATTTCATATCTCAAAATTCAAACAAAAAGATCATGACAATGTAAAGCCTCAGACCGTCCTAGTTCAAGAATTTCAACACCATAGCAAATATCAAAACTTGCATTTCAGTCAAATTACAAGATGTCATCATTGGCTTTCCAGTAGGTGATAACTATAAAATATCAGAACAACAAAAAAAAAATATAATTCGTACCCAAAAAAAAGTAAATCCATAGTCATTTTTTAAAAAACAAAACATAAATTAAGACTTGAAATTGAGAAAAATCATGGCAATGAAATAGTGTCAGACTTGAAATGTATCAGCACAGAACTGAATCAATCAGACAGGGATAACTGTGTATTTCTAAGTTTCTCATCATCCACACACATATGCCACAACAAAATTTAAAAACAGAAAATAAACGATATATAAAAAATTCAGATAGAAATAGAGAACGAGAGGCATCAGATCTTCCTATTCGAGTAAGAATCATAATACCCTAAAAAATCAACAGAGTATTCAGCTCAATAAAGCTCATCATTTGGCCTCTCTACAAACACAAATAAGCATAATCGAAACCAAATATTGCGCATTGAACCGGTTTCCAATTCAACCATAATACACGGGGATAAGGCAAAAGCAATGAAAGTTGCCCCCTTTTTCCCTTAAGTTTTCTCAGGAAACAAACAGAAAAACAGAGATCGAGAGTAGAAGGTTAACGGCGGAGGGTTTTAGGTATAAAGCCCTAACAAGTGCGTCGTTTTTATAAGCTTTTTGAAGCGAGGGTTCTGTGATTAATGCGACTTGATCGTACGGCCAGGATTAAGAGGGCAGATTTAAAGAGCGTGAGTTTTGGTTTGGGCCGGGCTGGGAAATATGATAGAGAATAAGATGGAAGCTTGATCCAAGTTATGATGGGCTTTTAAAATGGGCCCAATTGTGTCAAAGGCGGCGTCGGAATGAAATTGAAATTAAGTTGAAATGGGAACGACATTCAAATGAAGTTGTTTTGACTTTGTTATATATTATTTTATGAACAGGAATATTAAATTTTTTACTAAATAAATAACTAAATATTATAATATATATGAGACATTTAATTATTTATTTGATAAAAAAAATTACCACAGAGAGCGTTTTTCTTATTTTATTCGTTTTTTCTTCATATTATTCTCAAGATTGTCGAAGCGCATAACATTGGTGCCTTCTGGCCGGTACTGAGATAGCGAGAGCTGGAGTTCTTCGGAACTTTCCATGTGTTCCCATGTTTTTTTTCTGTTTTCCCCAAAAAAAAAAAAAAAAAAAATCGAACATGAACAACATGAATTTTTTAAAGTAATTAAAAAAAAAAAAAAAGTAATATATTGTATGATTGAAATTTAATGTTGATGATTTTAAAATAATTTTTTATATTTGAAAATTAAATCTTAATTATATAACACATCACTCTAAAATTATTTTTAAAAAATTGATATAATTTTTATTTACATTTTACGATAATAGAAGAATAATTTAAATAATATAAAAAGTTTGATTACTAAAAAATTGAGGAAGACATTTTTAAAAATGTCAACTTACAAAAAGCTATGGGGAAAAGTTATTTGACAAATTAGTAAAAAAATAAAATGCATGAATCAAATTAATTTTAAGTATAGTCCATCTTATTTTAAATAAAATTTCAAATAGCATTTTATAATTTCTTGACTTTTTACTTTGAAAATATAATGTAAATATGCATTGTTATGAGATAAATTGTAAAAATAATAATAATAATTATAAGCAATGTTATGTGTATATATATATATGAGTGGTATGACTCATTACATAAATAAAAAATGTTTGAGAGCTCTAAATTAAGAGCTCTAATGGGTAGAGTCCATCTATTGATGTGATGTTTTGGCCTTCTTCTTTTTTATTTTTTTTCTCATTGCCATATAAGTAGATCTCAATTTAGTACTCTATTTTTAGAGCCCTCTATCACCACTCTTACATAAATATTATAAGAAAATTATACATCAACACATGTTTTAAAACAAAAAAATCAAATCAATGAAAATTTTTATAAACATTAATAATTAGATCATAAACTTTTTCATTAGTCTATAAATATTTTGTACAAACCTTATGGATGTGTAGTTTCCCAATATTTATTATATTTGTATTGACAAATAAAATAACATATAAAAATATGATGATGGTATAATTATTGTTCTCACAGACTGTATCAAAAATAGCCATATCTTGTCTCTGCCAAATTTAGTGAAATCACCGCCATGTCTAAAGAGGAAATATGGCCGGCTTTAAATCCCCTCATTTTTTTTGGTTGTCATTGCTCTCTCTCTCTCTCTCTCTCTCTCTCTCTGGTTTGTTCATTGCATGTACAAAAGACTCTATACTTCTCCCAAGTAATTAGCCATCATAATCAGGTACATTCAAACTCTACTTGATATATATATATATATATATGAATTCAAACTAGATTCTCTCCACATTACTGTAATTGTTTCATTGATTAGTTTCTAATTACATTACAGATAGAGAAACAAGTTCATTTGAGCTGAATTTGAGAGCTTTGAGTTTTGATACATATCTGAAACCAGTGTTTGTGGTTTGTGAAAAACCCAATTCAAAATGTGCATCAATTTAGTGTCAAAATGTGAGTCCTGAGAGCAATCCCAAGATGTCAGACATCCCTCCAAAGCCTTCTCATTGTCAAATGACACCAACTTCTCAGCAACCCATTAATCAAACACTTGGTCATTCAAGATCTTTGTCTCAGCCTGCATTGTTCTCTTCAATGAATTGTTTCCCTCCATTACTAAACCTCCTTTCTAATCGCGAGCCATCACCAACCTCAGAATTGATTATTGAAGATGTACCAATGGATGATCAAGGTGCTTCATCCCTTTCACTTTCGTCTCATAAATGGCACCGCCGATCCAACAGTGATATGCCATTAGGATTCTCTGCTATGATTCAATCTTCCCCACAATTGATACCCATAAGCGGTCATGGAGTTTTTGATAGGGATGATAAGCCAATTCATTCTGTGAAACAAGAAATGAATTTGGATATAGATTGCACTTACAAAAAAGGAGTGATGGTTGAGGGGAAATTAGAGGGAGATGTTGGGGATGACTTGTTTAATGCTTTTATGAATTTGGGCAGCGCTGATCCATTGAACTCTTCTGGTATTGAGGAAAAGGACATGGATAGCAGGTCCAGTCGAACAAAGACACGTGGCGGTGATGGTAGTGATAATGAGGTAGAAAGCAGCTTGAAGGGAAAACCCAACACCATCCATGGAGGAGGTTTAGGTCTTTCAAATACGCGGCACTTCAGAAGTATTTCAATTGATAGTTTTATGGGAAATATGAATATTGCTGAGGAATCGCCAAAGTTGCCCCTTTCATTGGGAACTCAGTTTGTTCCGTACTCACCTTCTAATTCTATGGATATGAACTCGGCGAAGTTCAGTTTGGAGTTTGGAAATGGCGAATTCAATGGAGCTGAGCTGAAAAAGATTATGGCAAATGACAAACTTGCTGAAATTGCATTATCAGACCCCAAACGTGTTAAGAGGTTGTTGTAGTTACAACTTTTTTCATCTGCATACTTGTATCTTGTTGCTTATCCTTAAAATATTTATGATTTTCTCAGGATATTGGCTAATCGGCAATCAGCTGCACGTTCCAAGGAACGGAAGATGCGATACATCTCAGAGTTGGAACATAACGTGCAAACTCTGGAAACAGAAGCTACTAAACTGTCCGCACAGGTTACACTTTTACAGGTAATGCATTTCCTAGTGTCTCTAATGTTCCTCCTCTCGTACCTCTTATTTGTTTTGGTGAATTGTTTTGGTCATGTTTTTGCATCCAGAGAGAGTCTGCTGGGCTTACAAGTCAGAACAATGAGTTGAAATTTCGCCTTCAAGCTATGGAACAACAGGCACAACTCAAAGATGGTAATTAATTTTCTTCTTCACTGTATATTGAACAATGTTATACTTATCAGCTTTGTATATTACTTTCAATTTATCATCTCATGTGTTAACACATCATTTGACATAAACATGAAGGGTAAGACTCATTACACCAATGATGAGTTAACACACGAGGTGTATATTGAAGGTGGCAAACGTAGTATTTTTGTTATATCTATGTCTGTTTTGCTTCTAATATGTAGAGGCGTTCTAGGTCATTTTTACCTTCCTATACGTCAAACATAGAAATCCCATATAGTTTTAAATTAAAATGCAATTGTTAACACTGTTAACTATAGATATGAAATGACAATAATACCTTCAAATTCTTTAATTTTTTTTATTATTTTCTTTCTCTCTCCTTTCTCATACATATAATTTATAGTGCCTATTTTTAATTCAATTAAATTACAATTAATTATAAATTCTTAATTATGTATTGTAATTCTTAACTTCTTATTCTAATTTTAATTTAATTATATTTTAAATCACAAATAATCCTAAATATTTAATTATTTATCATAATTCTTAAATTTTTAATTTGATACTAATATAATTATATTTTAGATCACAATTAATTCTAATTTCTTAATTATTTATTGTAATTCCTAACATATTAATTTGATTATATTTTAGATTAATTGTTAATTATTATTTATTTATATTTTTATTTAATTATGTCTTAAATCAACTGTTTAATTATATTTTATATTTTAGATCAATCCTTAATTATATTTAAATTAACATATTAATCTAATTTTAGATTTGGAGAAAATGTGGGTAAAATTATATTTTTGTTGTATGAATTTCACTTTATTTTTTAGAAAATCAAACTACTCTTAAAAAAATAAATAGTGTGTGTGATACACGTTCCGTTAATTTGGATAGAAAAACTAATGGTAACATTTTAGTTCAAAATTACATGAGGAAATACTTTATAAAAAAAGAAGCTCTTGGAGATTGCTTTGCTTTTTGAGCTTGCGGGCATGACCCAAGGAGTTAATAATTCCTAATGAAAGTAGATTTTAAAACCTGAAGGGAGCGCACCCCCAGGTCTAAGTTGTACCCACTAAGCCAACCCCTGGGTGGTTTGGCCAAATGTTGCCTCATTTTTATAGAGGCAACCAAACTTTCCTAGTAACAATCTAAAAATGTCTAATTAATGTTATGTGTGCAATCCTCTTAGGACCTTTCATAACATTTTTAGTATTATTTAGAGACTATTCTAGAATATTACATATAATAGAATATACATTGCTTTGTTTTTTGAGCCTGCGGGCGTTAATAACACCTAATAAAATTTGAACTTAAAACCTGAAGGAAGCATATCCCCAGGCCTAAGCTGTACCCACTTGTAGACGTCCTCGAACGCCCCGAGAGAATGAGTTCCGTTCTGTTCGCTTTGGGTTCACTACAGTTCAGGACTCTCAAATTGTCACGGTTCTTAACTTGAACCAAAGAGTCCAAATCCGGCAAATCGTTTTGGAAAACAGATTTTTAGAAAAGAAGTGCCAAACATGGACTGTTTTGCCAGATATAGAGTGGCCACCTAAATATTTTATTTTGGAAAATTTAAGAAACCCTGACTCGGTGCCAAAGGCCACGTGTCCGTCATTACCAAAGTTGCCTTGACTCGGGAACTTGGATACGATTGGGGAATGTCAGCTATGAGCACCCCCTCTCGCTCGATCAAAGATCGGCCTCTACTAACCGTGATATCTTGTTTTGAAAGCATTGTGTTCCTAATCCGGTTATTAACCTAGAATTACTTATGTGATGCGCACAGCAAAACAAGTATAGACTAAATTGCCTAAGTCGGAACAAAGCATCGCATTTCCGTTTGTTTGGAAAATGGTTTGAATTTTGCTACTCGCGAGTAGGCTAAAATACGGATTTCGATGAATTATCCCAATTCAAACAATCCAACCTTCACCCACAGGCATTCATGCAGTTATATCACATAAGCATATAGCCACATGGTAAGCATGCTATCATGTTGACATTCACACTCATGCGAGATGCTAAAGCATAAATACTCACAGTGTACTCCGAGCCGAAATAAGAAACTAGTTAGTAATCATGCATGATCCTAGTTCATGTTAAAATGGCTAATGCATCACATACAGAATGTCACTAGAATAGGCTCGGCTAATCTATGGATGGCATGTGAAATGCACAGATAACATGTATTCAAGTTAGATTTGAGATACTATGCAATTAGTATGATACGCCGAGCCCGGTGCATGCAATACAAATGAATGGATTCACGCATGCATAGCATAAGGATGCTAATTGAAATATGTCCTAATACTAACCATCAAAAGCAGGTAAGTAAAAGGGAGAAAGAAGTGGGGATTGAAAGACATGCATCACACACACGCACGCTTATTACAAATTCGCCCTCGCTCGGAAGGACCAAAAGTATAATACAATTTAATTAATCTACAAGCTAATTAAATAATTTACAGACCACCTAATTAATTAACAAATCAATTAAGCTAAGGAAAGCGGTAAAAGGCCTCGGGAAGAGGGATGCACGCATGCTCGGATTGACTTCGCCCATAAATCTAATGCCATGCCATTGTTGCCTCTGTTTACACTATTTTGCACCTCTGAAAACTGCATAAGTCTCCAGGATGCTTCTAAACCACATTCTGAGCACTGTGGAAGGTCACCGGCCAAGGGTAAAGGCCACCGGCCATCCATCGACCATGGATATTGATATCGGACACAAATGTTTGGTCGATCGGCACTGTAGATGGTCGACCGGCCATATCTTCCTGCAGAAACCTGTTTTGACAGCAGCAGAGGGCAAAACAAGGCATGTCAATGCATTTCAAGCAAATGTGTGCACCAACACACCCCCTATCATGTTTATGACTCAAAGGGAGGTGGTACTCGATTCTCGGACCACCAATCGCGCATTTCAATGCATGATGGCCCAAGAAACCAAGTTGTGCATTTTGATTTCAAATGACGTGCAAACCAAATAAACACATAAAGCCCAACCTTTATCATACTCAATTCAAGAGGCAAAGCATGCATGCTCTATGCAATGCAACCTAAGCATGGAGGCTAAGTATGCAACAGGAACATGAGGGCAAGTATGCAAGTTAGCAAACATGCAAAGTGTAATCTTAACCATGTACACATGCAAGGCATGTAACATGTTAGGCAACTTAGCAAGAAATGCATGCTAAATGCAACACCATTTAAACATGCAACAAAATGTCATGAGCCAAGTACCTAAGCATACAAACATACATGCAAACATGGTTGAATATCTAAGCATATAGAAGCAACTTTCAAGCATACTTAAAAGGGGGCAAACATTGGCACATAGCATACATGATAAGCTTTGAAAAACATGTAGAAGATGATGCCAAATCAACCTACCAATGCAAGCAAAGCATGCATCCAAGCCCAAGGACTTAAACTATGATCATATGACACATGAAGCAAATGATCAAAGTGAATCAAAACAGTCCCAAATCATGCCAAATTAAGCCCCAAAAATCACTTAGATGGCATCTAAATGATCTAATCCTAAAGGCATACACAATAGCACAAACATGGAGCATGAAACACCAACCTTATAAAGTATTAAAGGGGCATCAAATGCAAGCATACAAGCATACCACAAGGACTGAAATGACATGACAAGTGGTTCTAAACCACTAAAATGATGCAAGGATAGCATGCTAGAGGGTCCGATACTTAAGGCCTACAAGGGGAATTACATGGTAGCTATACAAAGCAAAGCATGGATGACCTAAATGACCAAAAACAGTCCTCAAGCACATCAAAACAAGCATAAAAACTTCACAAAGCTAAGCCAAAAACATGCTAGAAACAAGGCTCAAAGCATAAAGTATGTTAAGGAAAATCATGGCATTACAAGACAAGTATGCAAAGCAAGCATGGTGTGTCTAAACCAAGTAAAAATAGTGCTATATCATGGCAAAATAAGCACAAATAACACTTAAAACATGGCCAACATGAACTCAAGAATGGTGCTCACACATGAGGCTAAAATGGCACATTTTGAAGACAACAAAGAGAGGGGATGGACCTCTCCTTATTAGGACCTTAAGACACCATCCTCACCACTGAAATCTTGAGGGATTTCAGTGGTGAGGAGGCCCAAACAAGGTGGTTCCGAAGCTCACCAAAAATAGCACAAAATGAGGCCAAACAAGGCCTAAGAGGGGGTAAATGACCCCAAACACAAAAGTGATCTTAAAAAAACTTCAAAAGGAGTTCAAAATAAGACTTTTTTCAGTCTATGACAAAGCCCAAATATGCTTTTAAGTAAGGCTAAAAGTGTGTGCAAAAACGAGAAATAAAGAGGGTAAGAAGTGTAACCCTTGAAGACTAGCAAGAACCAGCAGCCTTTAGACCCAAAAATGCAACCCTCAACCTCTGAAAACAAGCTCCAAGAACCTCCAAGTGATGATGGAAGTGTGTGGCTATGAAGTGGTGTGCAATAGGCCAAGAACAAGACCTTTTTGAACCCTCTAACACACCCAAATGTAGAGAGAGAGGGAGATATGGAGAGAGAGTGATATATATATCTTATATATCAGATTTTTCAACCCTTGAAATGGGAGGAGAGGCCCTCTATTTATAGAGTAAGGCAAAATGCCTAAGCTTCTTGGAGAAGCTAAGGCAAAAGGGTCAAAGGGGGCAAGCTTCTAAGGAAAGCTAAGGTAAAGGGGCCAAGCTTCTTGGAGAAGCTAGACAAGGGTTCAAGCTCAAGCTTCCTCAAGAAGCTAGAACCAAGGGTTCAAAATGTTCAAACTTCTTGGAGAAGCTAGAACAAGGGTTCAAAAGGTTCAAGCTTCCTCAAGAAGCTAGAACCAAGGGTTCAAAAGGTTCAAACCCCCTCAAGAGAAGGTCTCGGCCAGAAAAAGTGGCTAATCGGCCAATAAAGTTGGCCGACCGACCACAAAAGGTGTCGACCGACCATCAAAGGTGCCGAC